GGGCGGCCACCTGTTCCTCCTTGTGACCGCCGGGGAGCTTTTCCTTTATCTTTTCCTTGATCCCCTTCTTTCTCCTCCCGCCCATCCCGTCATCCTCAGAGGACTGCCATAAATTGCCCAAAAAAANNTATTTTTATTTTTTTACTATTTAGGCCTGTGGAACAGTGGAAGCTAGAATGCCATAAAAAAAAAAAAATTACTATTTTTATTATTTTTTATCCATTAATGTAACTTTAGTATGATTCTTAATTTAAAGAGAAGTTTGAGATTAATTAATATACCGAGCTGCTCGAGCTCCCGGACCTGCGGTGGTGACCGCCCAAGCCTCTGCCGGCGATCCCTCCGGCAGCAGGGCGGGTGGTGTCGCTGTACAGGTCGGATCCAGTGCCTCTGGCGATCCCTCCGCCAGCAGGGCGGGTGATGCCGCCGTACGCATCAGTTCCATGGCCCATGGCGGTGGTGCCATACTGCTCAGTCCCCATACCGGCGCCGGCGCCGACTCCGTACTGGTCGGCCACTCCGCCGCGCTGCATGGGGTTTCCGAACTCTTCCCTAATCGGGTTGCCGTACTCGTCGGTCTGCCGCCCGTAGTCGCCGCCGTACTGTGCCATGGTTCTCTTAATTTTGTTCTTCAGGTAGACTGATTGAAGTTTATAAGATGATCGATTTTATGAGATGATGATGGGATTTGTGGTTTTGGTTTGTGGGACTATATATAGCGTTGCAGAAGAGATTGAGAAGTAGGGACACGGTTACACGTGTCGCAATGAACTATGAGATGTTGACACGTAGGCGGTTTTGGGAATAGTAAAGTGTTTGGGGTCGGCAGCGAACCAGACACGTGTTCACTAGGTGGCATCAAATATCGGTCAAAATTCAAAGGTAAAAATGATAAAGTTAATATTGTCTGTTATAGACATAATAATATTGTTAATTTGTCTGTATATTAATTAATATCGCAAAAGGTCGAAAAACGTCAAGGTATTTGTTATAGATTTAATAATATTGTCTGTATAGAAGGTCCAAAAACATCAAAGTGTTAAGATTCA